TTAAAATATTTTAAAATTTTAAAAAATTTATATTACTGATATTTAGTATTTCTTCTTTTTCTCTATAAAAAGATTAAGATTTTTCTGTAAATAATAACATTTACCGTCAATATGAAGATAATAATATGTCACTGTTGACATATCAAAGTATCTATTAATCAAGTTTATTGCGTAGCAGGATATCATTACTTCTTTCTAATGTTTTAATATTTATACTTATAATTTTATATAATTTTAAAATGTAATTTAAATATTTTAAAAAGTTATGTTACTAATTTTTAATATTTCTTCTTTCTATTGAAAAAATTAAGATTTTGGTCGGTAAATAATAGTATTTATACCGGTATAATATCTCATTGTTGACTTCCCAAAGTATCTATCAATCAAGTTTGTTGCATAGACAGATATCATGTGATTCGATAAACCCATGAGTGACGTTACTAATGGTATGATTCATGTTAATAAACAAAGTTAATTGTTCTTCATTCTCATATTGTGTATTTTATACAGTAAACTCTAAAACTGACCCTTTTATTTTTTGTGTCTATTAAAATTCATGTAATAATAAGATATATAAATGGAAATCACACATGTCTACTATTTATATAATAATCTTGATTTTTACCATTTTATATATTTTTTATCAATTAGGATAAGTTTTTTTCTCGTGCATCGCACGGGCGATGTACTAGTGTATATGTTACCTCCTACAAGTATATCTTTCTTCCTAAATTGGAAAAAATCCCCAAAAACATCTTTCTTTTTAATAATTTTATTTTCAAATTGATATAAAAATAAAAATAATACATTACACTTTTTAAAATTACATTAAAATTTCTACAATACAAGATAATTAATGAAAGTATGCATATAAACATAAATTATTAAAAAAATGTCTCATTTCCAATTTTTTTATTTTACTTGTAACATCCATATTTATTTTAATTAAAATAAATGTTTACTCATAAATATATATACATCACATATAAACGTAATAAGTATTATGTAGTTTTTAAATTAATTTATACATATTTTGTAATGTACTACCTCCGTCCCAATTTATAACGTCTGTTTCAGTTTACGATGTTTGACTAAAATTATTTTCAAACCATTTTATATGACAAATGGTATAGAATTAAAAAATAAAAATTACATATTAAAAAACTACATCAAAAGATCTACAAAACTAGTAGTGACAATGATATTTTATTTTATCAAATTGCTAACGAAAATAAAAAAAGAAAGTGAATGAAATTTGACCATGTGAATAGTAAACAGTCATTATAATTTGGGACGGAGGAAGTATAAGTTTTTGTATGCATACTAAAATAAACATATATACACAAATTGAGTATTTTGTTACTCGAAAATAAATATTCATGTAGATACAAGAAAAGCACCGTATATCAAAATGTATAATATGGGGACACGTTTCCACTCTACTTTTTCTTTAACCCACTTTTTTTGCAATACTCCGTACTAAAGTTCAAATCTTCAATCAAATGAGTTCCAAAAGATAAATTAATTTTACAGAGATGTTAAAAATAAGCCACTTTTCACCATTGGCGTGCAATAAAATTACTCACTTATTTTATTTTCAAGAAAATGGGTGAGAAATAAATTTTGGTATCTAGGTTCAGTCATGCACGCACAGAGTGTTCGATGAAGATGTTGTGGTGATTTGGGAAGCTTTGTTGAGGTGATATGGGAGCCGATTTTAGGATTCAACTGGAGTTTTGGGCACCTACGGTGCTCTGTTCGTAATATTGATGATTTTATAGTTTATACAACTTCTCTGTATCACTCACATAGTTAATACTTCATTAAAAAATGTAAACAATCAAAGAAGGGAAATTAACTTAGGATAAAGGAAATATGTCTTTCCAAACCCCCAAAAACAACACTTGACTCTGTGAAGAAAAAATACTTGCCTTACCGTAAAAAAAAAAAAAGATGAGTCGTGAACAAATGTTATGTTTATTGAACCTTATATAGTTAAACTCTCCCGCCTCCATCTCATCTTGCTGGCAACCATTATCTATTGGAAATTATTGTCTGTGAAACGCTGGCCGTGTCAACTTTGGTGTGATTGTAGCATGACCTCTTGCACAAAATGAATGTCTAATTTAAAACCTGAAATTCCGCGATGTGAAAGTGGGCAAGTTGGAGAACACCATGTAGGATTTATCTTCTAAGAATGACTTTGTGACACGCTCATGAGCGCTCTTCATTAAAACTTTGATGTTCCAAGAATCTACAAAACAAACTATGAATCTATTTAGGTTCTTGTGCTAATGAAGCCCAAAGGAAGAGGGTGGCTGGGACGGGGGCGAGGTAATGGAGTAAGATATGAAAATCCCCACCCTCCTCCTTCTCCCAAATAAACAAATAAAGACCAGGGTTCGTTTGATACCCGTTTTGGATGTCATAATATGACTCTGCGGCACTAAGGTGCTCCATTGGACTCAAAAGTTACTCTAACCCCCACCCTCCCCCCCCTATCGCTGAAATGCTGCAGTAGTATTGTAGCATATCGGCATTCCAAGAGCGTGGGGGTAGGAAACACTTTAGAGTCTATCTCAAATGATTGGTGTCATATTATGACACGCATGCTTGGTGTCAAAAAATCCTTGCTCATAGATATATAAATAAATAATAAAAGCATGTCAGATGCCAAAAAAACTGAAAAGACTGTGGTTAATGATTCATAGGACATAGCGAACCTGGTAAGAACATCGGAGTTATGTAAAAAAGGCACAGGTTAGGGGCCATAAATTTGCAGCTTTGAGATGTTGAGTTCAAGTAGGTCCTCCGATAGTGCGAGGCAACCTTCGTGTCCTGGGCATCGGCAATCCTCCGAGTCCTTCTAGGAAATCCTCAATCAACCTGAAAAGATCATTAAAAAAAGTGAAGAGATAAATTGTCCGGAGTATCTGATATAATTTTTGCTGGAATTGAAAATATGTTAGCATAGAAAATCTTGGTAAGAGAAGTGCAAGAAATTAAGGCATTGTTTGGTAAGAGGTGGAGGTACTTATGTTACGGCAATTTTTTTACTCAGTAGTATTGTTTGGTTGGGTACTTAGTTTGGTTTTAATCGTTTTATAC